CCCGCCATTTTGACTCTCACCTTATAAAGCTGCAATAATAAATTTCTAAATTATATACCTAATTGTTAACATAGCATATTGGCTGGGTTTGGTGTACAATTATTTTGTTGAATTGTGTGTTATCAATTATGTATTAAAATATTAACGGTTGAACACGTCCGTTATTAAATTATTCCTTTTTATTTATACTTTTGTTTGATTGTTTTTTATTCATTTATTTAATTTTACACATGAGGCAGGAAACATGTCTCGTTTCAAAGCTCTTTAACAATTATATAGTCCTATATCAAACCTGTTGATTTAATAGATCCCTTTTTATTGTGGTTACCTTTAACCAAGGAATTAATTTGATTGGATTGATATGAAAAGAATGATCATTATCATTAATTATTCTACGGAGTATAGTTGTAAAGTCAATCGAATGTCTTTTATTTGGTGTTTACACTTGTTTTGTTTAACACAATTACAGACTTATGTAGGAGATATTTTTCCAGTTATAGACAAGAATACGCACTCTGTAATAGTCAAAAACAGTCACCATAAAAAATCACATTTGACCAATGAGAAAGTGGCATCTGCGTAGGTAAATGTTACCAGGTTTTAGAAAAATCTTCCACCTAATAAAATTAGAGATACATATTAATTAAATGAAATGTCTGTATGCAATATCGAAAAAAACCTACTACGCACACATCTTGCTTTGTATAACATTTTTTTTAGTTTTTTCTTTTTATCTATACTAATATAATAAAGTGTTATAAATACACATCTTTTTTATGCAGGACATTAGCAATACCACTATTATTAGTTTTATTATGATATATGATGATAATAATATCATCATCAATCTTTATCTGACCACTGCTGGACATAGGCCTTCCCCAATGCCACTGACGGTGTGTTTTTGAGTGATTCTGTTTTTAAAAAAAAAGGCCCTACACTCAACACACACTTAGGTCCTAGTTTTTACGCTATTAAAACTTAGAGGATAAGTAAATTTGAAAAAACGTGTTGCGAAGAGGGGACAAAAACTACAAGCCATAATATTAGAAGTTGGTGGAGGTGCTGAGGATTCGAACGACAGATAATACAATGTTATACTAAAATATAATATACTAATAAGGTAAATACTGTAAATAACATTATTAGGCTTTTAAGTTGGAATCATGCAAAAGCTTTAATTTCCTAGCAACAACCTGTCCATCTAAAGACCAAAAATATTGGACCATTTTGAAATGAAAGTTAACGGTAACTTTTTTATCTTCCTAACAACGGCTTTCTTTTAAATAAAACAATTGTCTGCATATATTATTGTACTCTCACCATATGTATCTTTTCTACATTTATGCCAGTGGTAAGTAGACTTTACATTATGGTCTTACAAGGATCACATGGCAGTTGGCAATTTGTTATTTCAAAAATTAGCAATGGGAGAATTAAAAAAAAAGCCAGGAATTTTTAGCCTACTGGTAACTCTAAAAACAAACTAGCGCCCCTCTGTCAATGTCAAAAAAGTGCCATAGATTGTAGAAGGTTATACAAGTGACATTTCTAAAATCGTCTCATGACAAATCATTTATATAATTATATATAACAGCGAAAAACGTTGTATTTTTTGCAACAAAAGAAAGAAGATTATTACAAATCTGACATTTCAACTATTAAATCAATAGACTACATTATTTCATCTGGCAACTGGCATCTTATGAGCCAAAGTATGCCAAAGTATGTCTTAAAGTCTTGCAGTTAAGGTTTACATTATTCATGAATTTTCGAAACAGTATCTGCTGCTCCCTTGGTACATTTCCATGAAACTCGTCAGTTTTTTTTATATATGGCCACACTGCTCAATTTTAAACCAATAACATGAAATTAATCCAGAAACGTCTATCGCTGATTGGTGAAATCTTTCTTTGGCAAAAAGCTGTCAGTATTAAACCCGCTGTCTGCTGTCATTAGACGCAGGACGCAGGAAGAAGGCCATCTGCGACACATACACATTCATTTTGACTTCCCTTTTAGAAAATAGCACGTGTCGGCGCTGTCAACTTGCTTATCATCGCATTAAAATTGAATAGGTATGTAATTTTCCTTGTTTCTATATTGCTTTTGTCAGTATTGAAATGTGTAATTAGGTTAAAATAAAGAAAGAAAAACATGAAACATTAGCGTTTCGTTCTATAGCCTGGTGAATCATTTCAATACTCATGGCGTTTTAACCGTGAAGTTATTTAAAATTTAATTGCCTAGATGTAAATTCATTTTATCAATATTGTTACAGCCCAGATATAACAGCATTATGCCTTCTGATGCAAAGAAACGTGCACAACAAAAGAAAAAAGAGCAGGCTAGTAACCGGAACAAAAAGCCCGTGGCAAGAGTAACGGCTGAGGAGAATGGATCCACGACAAATGGCTCTGTCGATCGTGAATTGACAGCTGAAGGTATTTTCATTATTACGATATTGCTTGCACAGTTTTTGCCCGGAATTTCGAAACACAATCGCCAATGAAGTTTGAGAGTACCTTAAAAAATGTTAGACACTAACCATTAGATTACATTATAAAAAAATAATTAAAACCTACATTTTGATTGCCATTTTAAAAGGTTTAATTTGAAATATTTTTTAATTTTCACCATTAATCCTGTCAAAAAAACTTCACGACTCAAAAATGGTACACATCAGACTTTTCTAATGTAATAACTATTAAGTCATTTTATAAACAGGTAAATAAAAAATAACACATGGTGGTTTTAAAATAACACAGTTTAATTACAAAATTTGTTTGTGTTTTTTATATTTATAAAGCAACTGTACCTATATCAAAATGTTTATTGCATCAGGCAAAGTTTTTTATGTTGCTTGAAAATAATGCTAAAAACAGTTTATAAAAACTCCACATTTTTGTATGGATTTGCAAATAAATGTTAATCCAATCATGGTTGTAATTGGATTGAGAGATTTAGATGAGAAATGAAACCAACATAATTATAGTGTTATTTACATTATCTTAAAATTTTAGAGGCATTATGCTTGAAGTTGGAAGCGGAGGCTAAAATGAACTCTGAGGCTCGTTCATGTACTGGAAGTCTCGCAGTGCACCCGCGATCCAGAGACATCAAGATTGCTAATTTCTCAATCACATTCTATGGGCATGAACTTCTGCAGGATACATTGCTGGAATTGAATTGTGGACGAAGATATGGTCTCGTTGGGCTTAATGGCTGTGGTAAGAATTTATTTTATCTTTTATTCATTGTAACCCATGAATGCCACTGCACATTCTAGCACTCTTTTCATTAGAACATAGTAAATAGCATTCTATTATTATTTATCTTATTGATATCTTAAGGTAGCAATGGACGCGTAATTTACAATTTTATTTTTGCTTTCTTATATAATCTTACTAATGTTTTGAATTTGGAATTTTAAATGGATGGATGGATAGAAGGATGTTTGTTGGAGTTTCTAGCCTAAATGGCTGAATGGATCTCGATGAAATTTGGCATAGACATAAAAGATAGTCTGGAAGAACACATCGGCTACACAATTTTATTTTTTTAATTCCACAAGGATGGAGTTGGGCGAAAGCTAATGTAGCATTAAAGTTAAAAGTATGATTAGATTTTACATTATGTTATGTTGTACATCTTAGTTATGGAGGTCTTGACTGTGTCTCTAATTAGTTTTGCAAATACTTCTATAGACAAATAATCTATCTTGCTTCAGTGTCGTATTTTGAATTGCAATATTTTTGCGAATTAATTTACTCTTGACATGTAAATGGAAAACAACATCTGTTACAAGTAATTGGCAAAGTGCTTATTTTTTTAATATCAATTTGATTACAGCTGTCAAACATTTAGTTCATATAGAGTTTTTGTAAATATATGGTTTATTATAGTTTTGGTGTGTCTCATAGAATAGTATTTAATTGTAGCGTTATTTTATATTAAGGTGTATTATTATAGTGTTCAAGCGAAATTTGTATTTAAAACTTATGCCATTGAGTGTAATATAGTGTCAAAGGTTACTGGTGCGACTAATAGATCAATAATTTAATGCATATTGTCATATATTTTAAGATTAGCCTTAGCAATATAACTCTTTTCTCCTACTCTTTGTCCATGAATACTTTATGTCTTTCTTCTTTCATTATTCGTCTTTTAACTTTTGTTAAAGTTATTCAGTTTCAATCTAGAATGTTCCTTGTGGTTGTATTAAACCTTAGTATTATTTGCTACATCTCAAACCATGTTCTGAAGGAGATCATCTTATTTCCAATTCAATCATCCAGACAGACGATAACCATTTCCATTTCAAATTGATGTACCATTGACGTCAACATGGTTATTTTCCATTTGCAAAAAGCACTAAAAGATCAAATTTGAATATCAATATATTCGCTATGTTATAAATGATTGACAAACTGAATTATACATCTTTCATACGCGAAGTTACAAATTTGAAATTATAAAAGGTTTCGATTGTCACCTCCGGTTGTGTTATGTGCGAATGGAATATTATTCTAGAAATTTTAGTGTAGACTTTTTGTCATTAGATGAAACTAAATGTCACAAATAATCGTATTGTTCTAAATCCATTTTTGTAACTGCTTAAATATGATTGTCAGAAAAGTTTTACTGAGTTTGCATTACATGGTCAATTAATGGTTGTTTCAGGCAAATCATCTCTACTATCAGTGCTTGGACGTCGGGAAGTCCCGATACCAGATCATATTGACATTTTCCATCTAACTCGAGAAATGCCAGCTTCGGATAAAACTGCTCTGGAATGTGTTATGGAAGTGGATGAGGAAAGAATAAAACTTGAGAAGTTAGCTGAGGAATTGGCTCATTGTGAAGATGATGGTTAGTAATGTACCAATATTTTCCTATATGTTATTATAAACTTAACAATGTTTACATTTCTCTAAAGTAATAATTAAAAAACATTCTCACATATATAGAAATAACATCTACATTTCTGAAATTCAAAGATATTTTAATTATAACTTAATAGTTAAATATTTTATTGTTAGATTTAATTAAGTTGTACTGATTTATTTATTATATGTCCAGAATCGCAAGAGCAGTTGATGGATATCTATGACAGATTGGAAGACCTAAGTGCTGACACTGCAGAGGCTCGTGCCGCTAACATTCTACATGGTCTCGGTTTCACTAAAGAGATGCAACAAAAAGCAACTAAAGACTTCTCTGGAGGTATGTGTTAATTAAATACAGATTTCCAGATCCAGATAATGTAATGGCGGCTCCAACAGTCAACGCTTTTAAAAATAGACTAAATAAACTTAAAACCTCTGAGACAACATACATATATTGGCTAACTAGCTCCTAGTGTGCCACCAAATAATAATAGTAATGAAAGAATTCCTTCAACTAGTCATTATTCACGGAATTAGTCTTTATATGTAATTTGAAATAACAATTTAAGTCTAGGTACACTTTTATACCATTTCCAGATCCTAGAATTGTGCGTATAAATTTTCATAATAAACACGTGAGTCAGTAAGCAGTGAGGGAATAAACTAATGGTATTGTCAGAGAGGGAAATGTAAATATTTTATAATCAACATTCAGAATATTGGTACAATTGTACAAACATTAAAACAGCCAGTTACATTAAATGTAAACATATACAGATGTGTGAATACAATCATGAACAAACTGAAAACAAAAATGTTATTAGGTGTTCAGTAGATATGTACAGTAACACATCTAATTTGTACAAGCTACAATTTGTAGTACTATTATGCCCTTATAGCCCTAAGAATAAAAAAGAGTGGTTATCATATTAATTTATAACTAATTCGCTTGCGTAAAATAAAAAAAATAAAAGAGGGCATTGATACTCTGTAAATACTTTATAAGATTTTTTTTAATAGGTTGGCGTATGCGCATTGCGTTGGCCCGTGCACTATATGTGAAACCGCATTTACTTCTGTTGGACGAGCCAACCAACCATCTCGACTTGGATGCCTGCGTGTGGCTTGAAGAAGAACTTAAATCGTAAGCATAGTCACTATATATTATTAAAAAAAATAATATTATGATACAGGAATAAAGGTTCATAAAATTTTACAGAAAGGTTAGAGAAAGTTTAAATAACAATTACATTATTCTGCGCAGCGGTGAACTGGCTTAAGCTATTTTAACATTAAATATCATAAAGTGTATATAATTTCTTTGTTTCAGATACAAGCGTATTCTGGTGCTAATTTCTCACTCCCAGGACTTTTTGAATGGTGTTTGTACCAATATCGTTCACATGAATAAGCGCCGTCTCAAATACTATACTGGTAACTACGAAGCATTTGTACGGACCCGTTTGGAGTTATTAGAGAACCAAATGAAGCAGTACAACTGGGAGCAAGATCAAATTGCCCATATGAAGGTAGGTTCAGTTCGGAATACATTTTTTGATATTATTAACATATGAAAATCCTCATTTTTGTTCTAAAAGTGTTATTAAATGGAAATCTATGTTTAACTAACTAAAATTTTAGTGAGTTAACTAGCACCATTATTAAAATAAGATTATAAACGAAATCCTGTTCCTTCCTACAATCTATTGTAAATGTCCAGATTGTTTAGGAGTTACAAGCAAAGAAACATCCATCTATCCAAACTACATATAAAAAAAAAATCTTCATTGATTTGTAAAATTTGGTTTTGACAGAATTATATTAGCCGATTCGGTCATGGATCAGCCAAGCTTGCTCGTCAGGCTCAATCCAAAGAGAAGACTCTGGCGAAGATGGTAGCCCAGGGTCTAACGGAGAAGGTGGTTGACGATAAAATCCTTAACTTTTATTTCCCCTCATGCGGGAAAGTACCACCACCAGTTATTATGGTGCAGGTAAATGATATTTTTATATTTTAACCAAAAAAAGAAACTTGCTCTGATATTAACACAGAAAATAAGATTTATGTTGACTGTTTATTGACAATAATGTCTTTTCTAAATTATAACTGCTTTAGGTATAGAATATTGAGGTGTTGAATAATTCAATTTATGTTATTTCCTATGTGTTTTAAATTATTTTTTTTCTTTGCAGAATGTCTCATTCAGATATACTGATAGCGGGCCATGGATCTACAAGAACTTAGAGTTTGGAATTGATCTAGATACCAGGATTGCTCTTGTTGGCCCCAACGGTGCTGGGAAATCCACTCTGCTTAAACTACTCTATGGAGATGTGAGTATATTTACCTTGCCCTTGTTATAAATAAAATTAAAATAGACTAAGTAAATTTCAATTGTGGTATTTACATTAATAATCGGAGAATGTGGTGATGTATTCACATTAAGGGCCTAACCCACCACTGGCTGATAGAAGCACAGATAGCTTAAAAATTACGTCACTATCAGATAATGCAACAAAATCCGATATTTCTTTCACATATTTTACTCGTTGAATTGTTATCAGACAATTTACAATTGGTGGGACAGGCCCCAAAAGTTTTAATTCACAAGTTCAATGGCTACAATTCATATTGGGAGGTTCGGGACAGTATATGCTGTTTTTCCATACATTTCTATCAGCCATCATATCTGAATTCAATCACTTTTTAAATATCCACTTTCATACAATCCATCCATACTTTCTACAAATCAATATAGAAAAAATAGTAAAACAATGAAATTGCTTTTACAGTTGGTGCCAAGTACAGGTATGATACGTAAGAATTCCCATTTACGTATCGGACGTTATCATCAACATTTACATGAACTGTTGGACCTTGACTTGTCCCCATTGGACTATATGATGAAGCAGTTCCCCGAAGTAAGGGAACGTGAGGAAATGAGGAAGATCATTGGAAGATATGGACTCACTGGACGTCAACAGGTATGTCAAATTATTATAAACAAGCCATTTCCGTGTGGCTCTACGTGAATGAAATTGTAAAAGCCATATTTTTTATTTATATCTTGTAAAACTTTTAACTGTGGATGTTAAAATTCAATTTCTTCTACCATGGCAAAATTGCTTCTTTGCTGTTTTTTGCTTTACACTTTATTTTATTAATTACTAGCTTTCGCTAGCAACTCCGTCAGCCTAGAATTAGAAATTAACAAAAGCAAGTAGCCTATATGTTCTTCCAGACTATCCTCTATGTCTATGCCAAATTTCATTGAGATTCTTTCAGCCGTTTAGGCAACAAAGTCTAACAAACAGCCATCCATCTAAACTTTCGCATTTATAGTATTAGTATGATAGTAAATATTTAGATAATTTTAATTCCAGATATGTCCGTTACGTCAATTATCTGACGGACAACGTTGTCGTGTCGTGTTCGCGTGGCTCGCGTGGCAAACACCACATCTACTGCTCCTAGACGAGCCGACCAATCATCTTGATATGGAGACTATTGATGCCCTTGCTGAGGCTATTAATGACTTTGACGGTGGCATGGTACTCGTCAGTCACGACTTCAGGCTCATAAATCAGGTTATTGACATGTTATTAATTTATTTCAGTACATTCATGACTTTTGTTTTGTGAGAGCGTTCTTTCACTGGCCATTGGTTGATTGAGAGGTAATTCTAGCAAGGGAATTTTTTTACAAAATATATAATAAATATATTAAATTGGAATGGTAAATCAAATGCATGTTTACACATAATTTAATATACTAAAGACAAAAAAATAGCAGAACATATACCATAGATGACAGAAAAAAAATTATGCTAGCTTTCCAGATTATGTAAAACTTCTAGTCTTGGAGATAGTAGTTACAAACATACATCAATTCACATTTAGAATAGTGTGATTTCAAACATTTCTCAAATACCCTCACTTAAGTTTTCCTGTTTTTGATAAATTAATAATCAATAGTCAATGTTGTAGATTTATGTAAATGTTGTTTTCAGGTCGCTGAAGAGATTTGGATTTGTGAGAATTCGACAGTAACCAAATGGAATGGTGGCATTCTCAAGTACAAGGATCATCTGAAATCGAGGATCATGAAGGAAAACGCCGATAACGCCGCTAAAATACGCAAATAATTAGTTAATGACTTAGAGTCAGTTTTGAAATTTAATTTGCACGTATCGCTTATAAGCACAATTACCAATAAGGGCTTACTATCATACATCGCGATTGACAAGCACATTTTTATTTATACACATTGACGGATCAAAGCAGAGCGGATAATATTCATAGGAAATAACGTAATAATAGAAAATAGTAACAGCGATTTAGTAATTTTTCATAGCAGTTTCGCTTTGCTTTCGAAGACTTTAGCTATGTACACTAAAATATATATTACCTCATCATTTTTTAACTATTTTAGTCCATCTACATTAGGTGGTTGAAAAATTCATTTTCTTTATTTTATTAATATGTTAATTGTGCTTACAAGTGTAATCCCTAGTTAGTTACAGCCTAGATTTTATTTAGTATTTTACAATCATGACCGTAACCAAATTAAATGTTTATTATTGTTTTTAACTTTTTTTTAACTGCTTTTACATGCATGCATTATTGACATGAATAATGTGCAATACACAGATATTTATAGCAATAAATAGTTTTAGTACAATTTCACTAATAGGTTATTCTCGAAATGAAATCTTCATTGATTATCGTTATGTAAAATTAATGAATTTGAATCAAAATGAAATAAAACGTTTTATGTACGTTTATGTATAAACGAATTATGTAGCTAAATTTTGTATTTCAATACGTTTTATTACAATTGACATGCTCCGATTTACTGTTTAACTATTGCATTGTTTGATATTATTACTTAAGTAGTCAATTTTACAACAACCTGTTAACCAATCAAGCAAAATTTAACAATTCAATAAAAATAATTAAGATATTAAATAAAGTAGCATCTTTATCACAACTTTTTGTTTTATTTTAATCTTATTTAATATGTATGACCTCTCGAAACGGACTTAGTTGTAAAAAAAGTGCCCAACAGGGCTCTTTATAAAATTGATACAAGACGCTGTCACAAGCTGCGCACGCGAAACAAATTCTTAGTGTAAAGCACCAAGAAGTTTTACCGTTATCAAGGAGTTTCTTATAACGTGTATTTTCTCTATAAATATTTATAAGGTCCAACATTGGTTACCTAGACAACGAAAGTAATTTGTAAAAACTTATTCTGAAGAAATTTCCAAGACATTATTGTTACATTTAGTTATAGAAGTTAAAATATAACGCCGACCTTAGATGTAGCATCTAAGGAGATTTCTAATTCGTTCTATATTCAAAAGAATAAAAAAAAATTAAGAACAATACATTTCTTCCACAATTGTCAACAGTGTCACAGTTTTGCAACTTACATTAATTTCTGCTAACTAAAAAAATATTTCTAGGGATTGGTTTGTGTTGTTTAAATTATTCATATATAGTTTATTTTAATGTCTACGAGATATGGAACACTAAGAAGTCATAGTTATTAAACGATTTAACAATTCGAATTGAGATTGTATTAGTTGAATTTAATTAGAAATAGAAGCGTGGAGAAATAGTCTGCGATAATGTCAAAGAAAGACGATAAGAAAGATGATAAAAAGAAGGATAAGGGTAGTAGCGCATTTCTTAAAGATTTCCTTGCGGGTGGTATATCTGCCGCAGTGTCAAAAACTACCGTAGCACCCATTGAACGAGTGAAGTTATTATTACAAGTGCAGCATGTATCTAAACAGATTGCAGCTGACAAACGATACAAAGGTATGCTTAATTTTTTATTCGAAATCTATTTTCGGTTAACTAATCAGAATTTGAAACCTACACTTTTCATACGCTAAGAATTGAAAGGCAAGAAGTTAGTAGAATAGATTTATGATGCCGATGTCTTTCATAACAAAAAGTGAAGACAATATTCGGAGTTTTTAGTACACTCATGTTAAAAATCCAATACCTCGCGCACCCTAATTTGAAACTTTAACCTTAATTTAAATGTTTTTCAGGTATAATGGATGCAATTGTGCGTATACCTAAAGAGCAAGGGATAGGATCCTTTTGGCGCGGTAATTTAGCGAATGTGCTGCGATATTTTCCAACGCAGGCGCTAAATTTTGCGTTTAGGGATGTGTACAAGGGGTTTTTTCTTAAAGATATCGATAAAAATGTTCAATTTTGGAGATATTTCGCCGGTAACTTAGCATCAGGGGGTGCTGCTGGCGCGACGTCTTTATGTTTTGTATATCCCTTAGATTTTGCGAGAACCAGGTAATGAATATCATACAGAACTTATATTTATTATACATTTTGTAGCATAACTTATACGTTTGATTTTTTTTTTCATCAGATTAGCTACGGACGTCGGAAAAGGCAAGTCTAAAGAATTCAACGGTTTAATTGATTGTCTTCTTAAGACTTTAAAATCGGATGGTCCTATTGGCTTATACCGTGGGTTCGTCGTATCTGTGCAGGGAATTATTATTTATCGCGCCGCATATTTTGGATTCTACGACACTGCACGCGGCATGCTACCGGATCCAAAGAATACCCCTTTAATCATATCTTGGATGATCGCACAGGTAAAGTATTTTTTACTTTTTAACTACTATTTCATGGTATGTTTTGGTCATTGTCTTCTAGCATTTGCTCTTACTTGTATAATTTGGAGTTAGCAAGAGACCAAACGACGAACTTAATGTTTATAGTGATAGGCATTGACTACCAGTCGACGTAAAAAGTTAAGAAACCTGTGAAATAGTAAAAAAAAAATTATGGGGAGTGTACTCATTACTCAAGTATATGTGAGGAAATATTTTCTTATGTATCAAAATTTTGTTGCCTTTGACAGACTGTAACAACTGTGGCCGGAATCACATCATATCCTTTGGATACTGTTAGACGAAGAATGATGATGCAGTCTGGTCGGCCCATCAACGAGCGCCAGTACAAGAGCACCGCCCACTGCTGGGTTACTATACTGCGCCAAGAAGGCCTCGGAGCATTCTTTAAAGGTGCCTTTTCAAATATACTCCGAGGCACGGGAGCGGCATTTGTACTCGTGTTGTACGATGAAATAAAGAAATTACTTTAAATGACGTCAATGCTGTCTTCGTTTCTTTTAAAGTTCTTTTGATGTCTTTAAAAGGGCTCTATATTTAAACCACTGAGTGGTATATTTCTTATTAGTATTTATCAACAGGTTTTTGTATTTAAATTAAAAACGTGAATGTATTTTCATTTTTATTGATATTAAAAGTGTTTAAAAATTTGGTGGATTTTATTTTATGTCGCAAAGGAGGGCTACGCCTCGTAAGGTCCAATGTCGGGGATTGCTGTCGGTTTCAAAGTCGATGGAGCCCACGTACTTTGCGTCGGTTCTTTGAGGTTTTCTGTAGATAGGGCACTCGTATAATCTAGGATCTTTACCGGCGGTTGTGTTTATAGCGAATATATAAATCACTGGCATTTGCTCGTAAAGAACTTTGGGCTTGGATTCGATAAGTTTGCCAGTTTTTCGATCAAGGGATGCGCCTGTAATGTTAAAAATATTAAATTTTTGCAATGAAATGTTGATAGTTTTGGTTAATAATGTCAAGCTGCAAAACATACTAATATATGTGATATACCTTCTAGGAATAAGCCGTAAACATAAACACCTTCTGACGGTCCCTCGTGTACGTCCTCACGATTTAGCTTCGTTATATGATTCTGCAGGACAACCGAATCTAAGGCCCATCCTTTATGACTCCTTGTTACTTCCTAAGAGATAAACATCAATGTATTCTTAATAATCGACGAAGTGGGATGGAGGAAACCATTGTAGTTTATAACTCGAAGTCCAACCAACCTGTCTCATAGCTGTTAAAAATCCTTGTGGATTAAAGAAGCCTGTCATCCAAAATGTATGGGGTCTGCCATTTTTCAGCCACGCTCTATATTGTTGCTCCCGTTCCAAAAGCTCAGTGTACCAAAATCCTAAGGTTGCTGATTCCCATGATACCTGTTTTAAACAGATTACATCTTAATTTTCAATTACAAATTTTAGATCACACATTTAGAATAAGTCGTGATTGTCGATCGTCGCCGCGCTCTATTGACAAAACTTTTAAAATTACCTTTAACCATTGACTGGGTATTCTTGCATCATACATAGCATCCAAAGATTCTCGTAGCCCTTGGCTCATCACGATTGTACCTTCAATTGCTAACTTCAAATCACACAAAGTGGTGAATACGGTTTTAATAACGCGCTGAATTCTGTCTATCTCTTGTCTGCAAAACAAAATTTAAATTAATTTGACTAATTGCGCAATGTCATTTTTCTACAAAATCTTTGCCAAAAGGATTTTCTTATATTAAAATATATGAACTTAACCTTAAGAATATATTCATTGGTAAAAATGCGCCCATCTTTTGTAGAGCTTCTCGTACTTCGAAAGTAACATACTGTTTCGGTAGTTTTTCTAACATATCTTCAGCTAATCGATATACGATACTTTCTCTGGTTTCTCCGCCCTGACTACCGCCTTCTTTAGGTTGAACACTAAGTATAGTATCCAAAATGTCTTTAGCGCTGTTTATCTGATACGTGATGTCTGCGTTACCATGCAATCCAAATACTTCAGGAGTGTCAGTCAAAGGCAATTGATTTATGTAATCTACGTATCCTTGTATGTTCCTCGTTTGTGGAACTTTGTAACCTTTGTAGAATTCAAAACCTGGTCTTAGAAGAACGTCGCAAAACCATACATTGGTAAATGTGGTCAGTAAACGTTTGTCGAAATCATCTGTCACCCGACCCCCGTATTGCACCTCTCCAAGCATGTAACATATAGTAGGCCATGAAATTCCTTTCTTTGGGTCAATTTCATCCAAATGATTCTGAATAAATTGAACGCTCGCAGCATAATCTGCTTGATTGAACTCATATGGAATATTCCATCCCAAAGGTCCAAATTTTCTTCGTTCTTGTACGATGGTATGCAAAAATGCAACGGCATAGAGGAGTGGAGGCCATTGCGACAGTGAAGAATAGTCTAACGTATCTTGGGTGATATTTTGATACGTTCTTTTCATACTGGCTCGGATACCTTGCGGTGGTTCGTTAGTAAATTTGATTGCCATCTGCAACAAACCTATAGGAAAATCTGTATGTACTTCAGTTGTAAGCCAAAGTCGGAAAGACTCTTGAATATGTTCAGTTTCAATAAGGGCATCCATGGCTTCAACGCAAAACGGTAGAGACAAGTGGATATTTTGCAGTAATACCCAGCCTCCTTCACTCATCGAGTCAGAAATCATCTTACGGGCTACGATTTCTTGGCCCTGACCCATTGAGACGGCTTTTAAAACTGCAAAAAACGACATCAGATGAGACAATAAAGTATTTAAAACTAAATCTATACTAATACTATTATGCAAATAAAGTTTTTTACCTATATCTTTTGATTTAGCCAATGTTGCAATTTGGGCGGAAGGATCAGATCCGATTGAGAGAATACAAATGAGCGGTGTCCGAGGTTCGGACTCCTGCCAAGTACTTTCGAGGTTTAGTATACGCCCTTCTCCGTATTCAGCACCAAGCGAATCTAAAGAAAAGCAGTAATTTACAAAGTATAAATAAGTAACTTACATGTTCAATATCATGATGTTATAATGGTTTTATTTTAAATGTTTAATGAAGAAAACTTTATTCATTGTATTACGAACCAACGATATACTTTCGCGCTTGTGACAAAGTTCTATCAGGACTCCACGACCTTATTAGCAGTAGTTTACGAAAAACATCGAGACTTTCGTTGTAACCTGATGGAATCATTTCTTCTTCAGGTTTTGCCTTTTCATACCACACTCGCCACTCCTTTTCATTTGTTGCTATCTGAAATTAGATTTAATTGTTACAAAATTCAAATAATTCAAGTATTGAAACATGACATACAGTTAACCCATAACTTACTTTTTGAAGAACGTCTGAAAATATTTTTAATTTACTGATCTCAACTAAATTAAGCCAGGTTATGTCCAGAATCCATCTAAATGGCTTCGGAGTGACAGCATTCAAGTCGAGTGATGCGCCACCCTTGACGAAAGCCATGAATTCATCATGTGATATAAGACCTCGATGGCAATCTATTTTCATAGCTAACATCAAAGTAAACAAAGCCTTGTGTCTCTCGTATAAACTTCGCAAAGTGAAGGCCCATACTTCATGAGTAAGGTATTTTAGTATCAAGTTTATTCTTTCTTCGGTAATGTTACTTTTTGTTGATTTAGTGATAGAATTATCGAATATGTTCAGGAATTGCTTTAAAGAATTTTGATACATAATGTTTACATCGCTCATTTCAACAATCAAAAAGTATAAAATGGAGCCTCTCGCAGCTACCGCCCTAAATTCTTCTCTAGCTTTAATGATTTTCTTTTCAGTTACTTCAGCTACAATTAACTTTTCATTAACTTCTTCAGCGGTGGTTTTAGTTATCTGTAACACTTGAATTAACGCTTCATCATCTACTAGTGATCCTTCTGATGATGTAAGTCGACATAGCAAATTGCTTTCCAACTCTTTCATACTTCTTTGATTTTTCATCACTGATTCAAAGAGAGCAACACGCTCTTCTTCCAAATCTGATTTTTCCATCAGTATGACTCGTCCTAACAATTGGTCCTCCAAACCCTGCATGGTGACTGTGAAATCTATAATTGATGTTTTTGCACTAATTTCTGGCGAGTAAGCGGGATTTGGCAATTTTGTTGTAATATAAAGCATAAAACCTGGCATGACATCACATTCCTTATCACCAACTATAACCTTTTCAATAGAACCAGATTTAATGAAATTCTTTTCTAAAACATTATCAATAACTGGATCGAGTTCGACGCCTACATCCTCAATTAAAAGCGGTCTTCCGAGAGATAAACTATCTTCGAGGTGTGTTCTGAAATACTTGTGATTTAATGAAGTAATTTGAAGTTCGTTAGTGCTTTCTTTATTCTTAATCCAATTTTTACCTTGGCTTTGTGGATCAACTAACAACGGATATGAGCTAGATTTTGTGACAATTAAAGCATTTTGAACGGAAAGTTCATCATTTGGCAGACCTTGAAGCGTCCACTCAGATATAGTGGCACTTTCCACCAACATATTTGTGATGTTCAAATTATCTGTGACTGGTATATTTTTGCTTTGTAGTATTCCCATCCAGGTGTTAAATAGGCTATTTCTGAATTCTTGATTGTATGGTCCACAGTATGATAAAAAGCCTGTTGCCAGTACAACATCACCAACCAACCTACCCAACTGTTCTTTGAAATCTTTACTTTGTTGGGTCCATCTTATTTTTTCACCTCCTAAGCCATTTATCAAGGCTGTAGCAGCTGTCATTTTCCTTAGACAAACATTGGCAGCGTCTGTTAACTGTTGTTTCTCAGATACTGCTGACTCATACTGTTCTTTTACTTTCCGTAGCGACATTTCTCTCTCTTCTAGTTGTCTTTCTGCCGACGCTAAATCTTCCATAGCAACCTATAGCAAAATAATGTTAGTATGTATCATGTTATAACGTGTTTAATTATATTTGTACTTTCCGTATTTTTATTACCTTCAGTCTTGCTTCTTGCAATAAAAGATTTGCCTTCAGAGGTAAGACTTCTTTGTTAACACTGTGAAAGAATGCCATTGCTTTTGTCCAGGAAAGTAAACCGGCAACGTCCCCGCAAACACGTTTAGCTGTATCCATATTATAGTCTTCCATTTCGAAATAGGGAACTAAATGTTCTACCATTTCATTATTGATTATATCCTTAGGATAATTTTGTAATTGTAGAAGGAATGTTGTACTCGCCATCATCTAGAAATAAACAAATGGTACAGTTTTATTATGTTGTACCTATAAGTTGTAGTCTATATATGAGGTAATTACCTTCAGTGACTCGGCCCAAGAAGGTTTAGGGCAAGGTGCAGCAGTATCTGGTATTAAGGGGTGTAATCTGCGTTGAAATAAAATGAGGACGCAATCCATAATTCTCATAATTAGATGCGGCGGACGACCCAATTTCCTGACAGTGGCAATATGTGCTGGTTTTATAGTATTAAGCGCAGCTTCGGCTTCTTCCAGGGCCGGCTTAGCTGCTTCCAATTTAATTTCAGCTTTCTCTTTTTCTTCAGCGATGTAAGCTACTAAAGCTTCTGCCTTTTCTTTAACTATTTGTACTTGATTTTTGACTATCTCTGCTTGCATTGCTCTTTCAGTGACTTCCGTCAATACTCGATCAGCTTTTTCGGATGCTAAAGCTAAGTCTTGTTCCATAACAGCTAAATCTTTCTTTAAAACTTCAACAGAAATAGAAGCTTCACGAAGCTTTTCTAAACCAGTATCCATTCTCAGTGCTCCGTCACCAAGTTCCTTTTGTTTCATCTGATAAATAGTTTTGTAACCTCCTATGAAACTTAAATATGATTTCGGTGTAACATGAGATGATCTTCTGAACCTTTGAAAATAGTCCGCAGACACTTTCGATACAACATCTTGTATTGTCCCTAAGACTGTTACGAGTTCTTTTTTAACTTCTTTTGTGCATTCTATTTCAAATTCAGCCAGAAAATGATCCGCAACAGACACCAGAGCATCTTTTGGCCAAGGTTGAAACCAGTCTATCGTACAACCAGATATAAGAGCAGGGAACCTTAAAGCTCGGTACCGAAATGCTTCACTAACCTGAAATAATTAGAATAGTGTATTAATTAAATGATTAACTGGTATGATGATTATTATCAAAATTAATGAACTTACAGGCGAAAAACATAAAACAACGTGAAGATTTTGACAGGTTCTGTTAAGAAAATATTCCATTACGAGTTCATTAGTTAAAGTTCGCTTCTGATTTTCTCTTTTCATGATTGGCGTTAGTTCCGAGATAATTTCTTGCTGTTCGTCTTTGGTAAACAAGTTAGATATGACCCCAGAAGATAATATGTTATTTAAATATTCCAAAAAGCCTTCTTCCTTAATGTCCAAATCAGTAAATATAAATGTAGTTCCTTTACCTTGTACACCACACGACCTATAAAGTAACTTAAGGTCTTCTAAAAAGTTGCCAACGTTGTAAGATCTTGTCAAAGCTATTTGAAAGGAACGATATCCAGCAATAAAAGTTGACAGTTTTGTCAGCGATTGTTTTCCAGACCCTCCAACACCCACTAGCATTACATTGCCTCTTGGGTGTCTTATAACTCGAGATATTTTTACTAAATGCAGCATCGCATCGGGGAAAAATACTAAATCCATTCCAGAGCCCCTGACCATTTCATTGAATTGTGAAAGAAACATATCTAATCTGTCCCGTAATTCATTAAAATCAAATACCGGCTCATAAACCTTTGGTAACTCCATATCAGCGTCTTCACCTTCTTCGCCAGTTGGTTCCGGTGCATCCCTTTACGAAATAAAAATCAATTAAATCTTGAACCTTTAGAAACATTAAAGTAAAGACCTAAGTAATCGTAGTTACCTCATAAAATCAACAAATACAGGATCTTTATCCATCATTTTTTTGTATTCCACACCCAATAGTTCTGTGGCTATGTCGTATAGAGCATTATTGAACCAATCTTTATCAGCTTGATGTGTAAACCTGTCTGAAAATACGCGGGAACATTCGTGTTTCCATAAAAGCATCAGACACTTTTCCGATTCGATTACAGTCGGCAAGGTTCCTACCATACCCTGCCAAACCCTCGATAGATCTCTTAAAGAAAATACATAATGGAACTTAGCTGGCGTAGGTAATAGTTTTTGGCGTGTTCGTGTCCATAGTTCTCTGGTTAAAGGTATAACTCGTTTTATAAGAGATCTTACTTCTGCAGTAAAACCACGTTTCACATTATAATGACCTTCACCTATAACCTTGAAGATTTTATCTATCGATTCATTGTTAGGCAAGGGGCAATTAAATATAGAAAATTGTCTCTTCAATCGAGAAGGAATATCATTCCGTCCTCCACCTGTAAAATTAAGAAAAACCAGAAAAGGTTACAATACTAGCGAAATAAAGGACATAATTATAGCAATAGTTATGTTTTACCTGGTTGTCCCATAGCACCTAGGAATTGAATATCGACAATTGTAGTAAAATCTCCAGGTTTTTCCAAACTATAAAATCCACCCATGCTCATTGTTTGTCTAACAATTTCATTTGTTATTTGATCACCCCATTCATTTATTTGTGGAAGGTTTATGTCATCTATAAACACTAACATTTTTTTACCACCCGGTGGACCAAAAGTCATACCACTACGTTTTTCGACGTAACTTTCTATAGTTTTTTGGAATTGGTAAGGACTAGTAGCAGAAGAAAAATTAAATGAACGACCCATGAACTGCTCTGGGTTAGCATTTTTCATATAGGCTTTCATCATAACCGTTTTTGCCGAACCTTGTTCGCCTAACAGGAGTACTGCTTTACCTTGTTTTGCAATACAATGTATAAGATAATTAATTCTGACGTTATCTACGATTGGTACTAGTATACTAGAGTAATCAGGTGTCGCGGTATCAGGGTATTGATAGTTGGTCATCAAATCATCCCATAACTCCCATTTGCCAGGATGTTTCACATAAAAGTCAAAAATAATGCTTGGTTTGTTATTTGGGTGTTTGGGTAGTTCCAAAATATCCACGAAAGATGTCTTTATATGCTTATCAAATCTAATTCTATCTTTGGTTTCAAGAAGTGATCCAAATCCCCAAGTTAATGCAAAAATATAAATTTTGTGTAAGTGTTCATGAGTAAAGAGAATAATTTCTTCTATCTTTTCCTTTTCTTCTTCGTCATCTAAGTCTCCATTTACCGATTTATTTCCTGAAGGTTCTTCTTCCTCTACGATTTGTGGAGGTACTAAACCTTCTAATATATTAAGCATTTGAAATACTATGTTGCTTTGAAGAACTCGCATACTGAAGGTTAGGTTCTGAGTGCACCATGTGTAAGTACTAAGGAAAGTCTGTTCAAACAAAGCACTGAAGACTTCTATTTCCCTCTGAGATCTTGTCATTAGCCACGCACTAAGGACTGCAAAGAACAATTAATGATTTTTACATTTTTTAAGAATAAGAATAAAATGATAATACATGAATAAAAAAATTACCTGGCTCCCAATCCAAACCCGAAGAGCTCATATACACCATTCCGTTACGAGATACTGTCGCAGGAGAGGCATTATCGATATTTTCTGGTTCGAATATTATTTTTGAAGTTGGAGACATTGTCAACCGATCACCGTTGGCCAATGTTAGTGTTTTATTATCATCGAGCACTGAATTCAAGTTTTCAATCCATATGCTGTCTACGGGACCGTCCAGCACTAACCAAATGTGTTCACCTGTTTTAATTTTTAACGTTTTCCGCCATAAAGCGGAAAATATACCGTCGGTCCAATCGTTTGTAGCAACATCTAGACGTCCAAACATTTGTGCTGCGGTTATGGCTTTGGGATTCATGCGCATTTCTCTGAAAACATCGTTTTTAAGTGATTACAGTTAAAAGTTTACTTAAATAGAAAATTAAAATTGATTCTGATTTTATATTATCTTACTTGTGGGGGTTTTCAATGTTAGATAAAGCAGTCATCAAGGTATGTATACAGGTTGTCTTCCCTGCTCCAGGTGGACCCAGGATCATAATTCCATGTCGCACTCTTTGCGTCTCGTAAAGCTGGAATTCAGATAAAATGTAACCTATTAGTTTTGTCACAGATACAGTAAAATGCAGTTTGTTTCAATATTGTTCTATTTCCTATTTAATATTGTATTTCGTATAAGTACCTGTATAATCTTCAATACCCATGGTGGATGATAGATTAAACCTGCTTGATCAACTTGTTTTTTAATTGCGTCTTCCAGTTCGGGGTATGTAGTTTTTTCCAATACTTGATTAGGAAATAGATCAGCTACTAAAGATATAAACAGTGGCTCGTCCTCGTCTATTAATTTTGATAAATTCATATCTCGCAAGACTCGCATTACGATTGTACTTTCATTGTCTTTTGAATTAACTCTCTTTACAGCACCCAAAGTTCTCAAAACTGATAGAATGTTTCTAAGACCGAAATCATAATGAACCTATTAAAATAAAATAAATATTTACATATGTAGCTATAAACATATCTGAATAAACATAAACAAATAATGATAGTAAAATTGCTGTATTATTTGCAAGAAGTTAAATAAATACCAACCTGTTTCGTTAACTGTTCCTCACACAATTTGTATAGCGTGTAAAACTTTCGAGCAAGCGTGATATTCTCAAGAAAGCCGCACGAAGCCAACTTTACCCTGATGATAATTTGTCTGTCGGGAACCATCATAGCTACTGTACGGAATTGGATCTTCAGATTTTCCGGGAGCTCTTTACGTCCAGCGTAGCCGGGGTTCTGAAAAAATGTAATGACACTTACAAATGCTGCATAAAAACCTAGAAAAATGTTTCAAATGTTTGTTATTTTCACTGGCAAAAAGCAATTGAAGGACTCTACAAGGAAGGTATAAAATAGTTATCTGAAATAGTTACCATTGTAATAAATATCCCAAATTCTGGGCACATGTCGGACATATCTCCATCTGTGAATAAAAAGGACTTCTTCTTTTCTTTCTTAGCTGCCAGCACGACGGCGACTTGCTGCGCGGCAACTGATAGTACAGGCAGTTCGATACGATTGAACTCATCAAAACAACCCCAAGAGCCTGATTGCGCCAAACCTTTATAAATACGCCCGAGACCCCTTAAAAAAAATCAATATTTATAGGAAAATTTAATACAGTTCAAATTATTGACTTTAAATGACTATCAGATTAAGGAATACTTCCTTGAGGTATCGAATCCAATGATGTATACGCAGAATAAATGGTATTACCATTGCAGCTAAGTAATTGGTGTAAGCGTAAAGACTAGTGCCATATTGTAATGCGTAATATCTACATTTGAAGAATGTGCGTGAATGTTACATAAATCTCATTAACATTATAACCTATAATCCATTTGATCAGAACAGTTGAAGACGACGACATATTTCGCCAAGGTTTTGCCCATATCTTTGACAGTCTCCGTTTTCCCTGTGCCAGCAGGACCGCATGGTGCTCCACCCATGCTCATTGCCAAAGCTTGAGCTAATGTTATGTAGCATCTGAAATTGTCACCATTCTTTATTCAACAAAAAACACGAAGTCTTATACCCAAAAGTTTTGTGTAAATTCTGGAAATGTTGAACAGTACTAGTGATAATAGGTACTTTTTATATCAGCGTTTTAGAACTAGTTAGTAAAATCTGATTTATAGATACAGGATAAAAGAAAGATGTTAGAATGGCACAAACATGAAATGTAATCTTACTAATCCGAATTACAAATTGGAATGCTTGTTTATTCGTTTTTGATTAAAATGTAATTACCGATCTGTTAATGGTGTGATGACAAGTCTTTCGGTGCAGCCCAAATATTCATTTTGGTAAGCGAAAGTGACGTCAGTTACCGATATCCATGTCTTGTCTGCGTCCTCCTTAAAATAGAAGCGACACTGCTTGAGCCACTCGAAGTCGTTCGCTGATCGCACGTTGAGACGGCACTGTAAAGATACAAAACAAACACATAAGCTGTATGTTTAAAAGAACAAACAATTTTAAATAGACAAGGAATATGGAAAGGATAATCATATTCTAGCTTATGCTATCAGACTTGTACTTTTTATAACTTATTACATAACTATTGAGTACAAGATTGAATAGTTTTGTTTTCTTACCAACATATCAAAAATATCTCTTTGGTGTACGTGAATAGTGATCAGGGTTTCGAATTTGATGCGTTCAATTTTCTGCAGGTCTCTTGTCGTTTGGTCTATGAGTGTGTTTAGAAGTTCCAAAAACTTGTTATTAGTTTCCATCATTATCTTTTTATCTTGGCGAGCTTGCATCAGAGCTAGTTCTGCGTCTCGGGTCCAAATTATTTGTATTCCTAGAAGTCCAACCTAAAAAACAAACTTGTTAATATCTCTATTAGTTTGTTTTTGCCGTATCTTTAAACTTGTCTTGTCTAATACAATATACAATTGAAAATAGTTTTATTTGCATTGAACGTAGTTATATCATCAAATTAGAAATAAATCTTTATCCAATATAAGCTAGTACTTTAAAAATTTGAAGACATTAAGATCTTCCGTTAGAGCATGTTGAATAAAACAAAGGTAACCTGTAACTTACCTGCGCTGGCATTTTATCGAGGAACAGTAATAAGTTGAAAGTGGGATCATTGAGAACTGACACTGCATTTCGTATGATCGAGTGTAAGCTACTTTGAGCAGATTGTAATAGGGAGGTGAGCCAAGTTTCCACAGAACCCTCTGCTCGTACTGGTCTCTCGAGTTTGATCTCTTCTCCTTCAGATGATACGATTGCTATCATTTTATTATACTCTGAAATTAGAAATAATTCATCATGGTATTATTTATATTACAAGGTACAGTAATAAAAAAAAATATAAAGCTTACCTATATCATGAAATTTCACATATCTTATATTGTCAAATATTGATAGTAAATGATTTTGTATCGTATGAGAATCTGATGCCTGACCCAGAATCTCAAGCAGCGCTGGATCAGACACAAAAAAGAATCTTGGAAACATAGTCCTCTTCTTTTCCAAATAACCACTTAAACTCTTTTGGCAAAGTTCCAACTGCTCCTGCAGATGAGGCAATAGTTGTCTCAAAAGATCGTCTCCAACACAGCAGGAAACAACGCCTGGAGTCTCGTGAGCTCGTTGCATAATCTTTTGCCAGGATTTGTCAATTTTAGAGAATCGCTTGGCTTCTGTTGGAAGTTGTTTCGCAATATCGCCTCCAACAAAGACTGCTTCTAGGTACACCCACATATTTTGGACGAGCAGCCATCGTTCAAGGATTTCATTTGTGCTCTGCAAATCAAAGAGCCACTGTTGTATCTGCTTCCTAAACGGTGCGTTGTATCTGAAAAAAACAACCAAATACTTTATTGTTTCATTATTGGACCGTACAAACGTGGAATACGTTATTTTCGTAACAATAATTTGTACTAATATTTGGTCGAGTAAGAACTGTTAGAGAGTTACCTGTTAGATAAAAGGGATCCTAAGATCATAAGACTATCTTCAAGCTGGCCAATCGTCTCGGCTGTGGTGTCGCCACGAAGAAGCAGCTCGCCGCGGTTATTAAATGTTTGGAAAGTGAGTTCGTGCACGGACCACTCATTTGTTACTTGACGTAATTTTGCTTCGATATCCTTTTCCTTCATTGCTGATATACAAATATCCTGGACACAGGGCGCACAAAAAGATAAAATTCACATACTTTTAACATTTTGTTGACAAACTTTCCCTATACAGGTGATATATCTCACATCCTGAAGTCGACTATCACTTCGTTATATTCTCCTGGTACTTCAGCGCAACAAAAATCGTTCGAGGTTCCTTTCAACAGTACATGCGCAGTTGATACTCGACGCGAGGCATTCGATGAAGAAAATAGTCAGTCAGTGTGGTTTGCTTCAACAGGACGTTACAATCACAATCGATTGTTTGCTTGTTGATTGTTTACAAATTAATGTTTGTTTTTATTACTTACTCAAGGATGTTATTACTCTAATGAAACTTGGTTTATTCATGATTTAAACAATTAAAGTGTTAGGAAAAAAGAAAGTTGAACAGGATATAAAAATCAGGCATTTAAGGGATAGTCATAAACCTAATTTTAAGCAACTAAAGTATAATGTCTGCGGCCGCATTACCACCGTGGATGGCTTTATACAATTACCTCGATATCTTCTTTGTTTTGAAGAAGTGGTGCTTCTAAAATGTTTTTCAGGCAAAAGTCTTCGTTGTCGAGTTCAAAATTATATTTCGTGACTTCCATGATTCGCTGCCAGTGACGCGGCTTCATCGCTTTATTTGCCATCAACTCGAGAAGAGGGCACATGTCGTTGAAATCATCAATTGTTTTCTTCAACGCGTAGAATGCTGGCCATTCCTTTAATCTATTAATTAGGTAACATAGTAAATAATACACAGAAAAACAAATCATACTTCATACTAATTAATATAATGAATGCGAAAGTTTAGGAGGATGTGATTTCGATGAAATTTGGTATAGATGTAGAGGATAGTCACTTTTGTTTTTTTTAATACCACATGGACGGAGTCGCGGGCGAAAGCTAGTGGTATATAAAACGCTAAACTCACCCTTTAGGTAATTTCCTACATCTGTTTTGAAACTCCATGAGTTCATTGTTAATTTCTTCAATATTTACCTCACCCCAAGGTATGTCATAGTAACTGCTCACTCTATCTATCACGTCATTATACAGCTTGTATAGTTTTTGAAGTAAATTTAATTCCTTTCTGATTTGCGCTAGTTCTGGATACTCAGTATGAGGCAAGCCAAATAATTCTTCTCCGTTTTGATACGTCTGTAGTTTTCTCCACATACCATCAAATCGATTCTGCAAAATACAATTATACAAATAAGAGCCAAAACTCTGAAACAACCTAGTTTAAATATCATCTAAAGTAAAAAGTACTTGCTTTGTCTGTTAATTGAAAGGAATTGGTTTATTTTTTTTACAATGTGAAAATAAAAGATTTGGTTGTTTATGTGATCTGAATAAAATTTAAAACTGTACTACATAGATTTAAGTTGTTGTGTATTTAGCAAAGTGGGTTAGGTCGGTTGCTATTTTATACCTGGAATAATATCAACCGGTCGGAGGCCTCACGAGGACTCAAGCCTGGCTGCATTGGACCAGCATGTCGGTACTCGTAGCAGTAATCAGTGTTATCGTCGCGGAATCTGTCCAGGTTGTTCTTAAGGTCGTCTTCGAACTGTGGCTGCATCTTGAGTAGTTGCACGTGGGAAGCGAGGGCCGTTGCTTGCAACTGTTGCCAGGTGTACCGAAGGTTGTCAACTTGCTCCATATCCTCTTTGCTTACTGGGAGCTCGTAACGAGTGATTACGTTGAACGCTTCCTAAAATTAGATATAGTAATTACGTATTAATGAAGTGATAAATCAATATGTTAGACATTGTTAAAAGGCCACCGTAGACACAAACTTTAGATCAATCGGTAGTTCAAGATTCAAGCGCTAAAGCAGTATGTTATTAAAGTGTAATAAATACGTAATATTTACCTCAACCGGATCTATCTTGAGTTCCATATCAACTTCTTGTTCTCTGATTTTCTTCAGGGTTTCCATAACAGTTCTAACGTCGTCTAAATCCCTTATTGGTCTCTCCAGCTTGCGTTCCAAATCGTTCATAATCGCGTAAACGTAGTCCATTTCGCGTTTGTACTTCTTACGCATCGCTTGACTTATTCTGAATGTACCATCTAGAGTAAAAAGTTGACATAAACTCTAGATTACATGTTCTGTACCGTTTCAATTGGAACTACCATGCTAATAGTTTTATTAACAAGTGAACTCGATCGAAATTAAGAGATAGCATATGCTAGTAATAGGTACTTACTTTTAAGTTCTGTATTCAAACCTAACTTTAACTTCTCTGTTGACACTGCCAAGCAGTTTCCTATGATCAACACATCAGGCTCCGTGTAAAGCTTTGCTTCTAATTCACTGTGTCTTTTCAAAGCAACTTCAAAATCATTTAATGTCCATGTTAATAATTGTCGTAGTGTTTTCTCACATTTCCATAAATAGTGATATGGTCTCCAGCGTTTCACAAGTGCATTTAGTTCCTGTAATTTTAACATACTAAGATTACAGTTCAATAAGCTTCTCGATAATAGTACCTATTTATTTAAATTATCTCAAATGATTATTTTGTCAGGGCAAATGAAAACTTGATAGCTAGTGGTATAGATTGTTAAAAACAAACTAAAAACCGTTTAAGACATTACGGATCCATAAAAAAAAATTAAGGACAAAACACTACCGCATCTAGTATACAGCAGGCGTTAATTTGATCACCAAATGTTTACTTACAATCTTAACATTTTGCGTACACAATGATAATAATGACAAAGTTTTAACAATCTCTTTGTTCTCCATAACATGGCTGTAGAAGTTTTTCTGTTGCAACGGAAACACCGGTTTTTCCTCTGATTCCAATCTGTAGTATTTCTTCTTTTTCAATTTTGCTGCTTCTCCCAGTCTCAAAGATTTTGTCGCCATGTTGTTTACTGATTGGACCTGTTCGTCAAGCTTGGTAACTACTCCGAGTAACTGGCTCGATGGGTTGCCCGCGAGTTTCTTCCAACTCACCTGCATGGAGGCAAATACGCGTGCGAAGAGACAAAAACAAGCGCAGAAAAAAATATGTAATGGAAATAATAAAAACAAAAAAATATATGTGATATTTACAGAGATAATTTGAAAATAATATAAAGCACATCGAGTGAGGAGCAAATTGTTAACATAATAAAGCGTTTTGATGCAAAATATTAAAATAATTTGCGGACGAATACACCATCGAAGTAACAAAAGCGTGAAGTGACACGTTCCGGACGATACAAGACAATTAACGACACAAGTTTGAAGAAGAATGATACATTAATAATTTTAGAACTATTTAGTCGTACTTACTTAATATTTTACACAAAAAAAAAATCTTATAAACGTTTAGTGATTTACGTTTTATGTTGGCAAGAACTCTCCACATTGGCATGCTTGCAATCTACTTATGTCGATGAATGATTTAATATTTACATTAGCATTGTTTTAATTCTATTGTTATTTTCTTCGTGGAACCTCTCTTGGTCTCGACTTCTCAATATCTTTACTGTACAGTAATATAATGTGGTATATAAAACACAGGCGAACAGAATAAAAATGTACAAAAACAATATTATAGATATGAAAATATTATCAATTTCATCCAAAATTACTAAGTAGTTACTCAATTTTTTGGTATTGATATTTGTTGTGTTAATTCTAATTTACATATAGCTTTGTCAAACTTTGAGTACAAACCACTGAACAAAAGATTTTGGAGAAATTTCATAAACTCAAGAAAATTTTACCCTAGATGTTTTTCCCCCACTCCATTGCGAGACGCCTTTTGATAAGCCGGATATGTGTTTTCCAGCCAGTACTAACATTTCTTGAATTTCTTCTAATGTTGGTTTGACTGACACATTTGGTATCATCAGTGTAGCTTGCAGTAGAAACATTGGCTTCTTTTGACCTTCGAAAAACATATCTTTGTATTATTTCTAAATATTATTTGTATTAAAATTATTAAGAAGATTTTATTTTTTTTTAAATTTTAATTATTAAGAAGATTTAAGAGGATTTTTATTATTTTTCAGATATTCCTAATTAATAATTTATATTTATTTCGATTTATAATTGATATATCGAAGCTCAATTATTATAAATGAAGAAAACACTTGATTAATTAATTCTTGATTATAAAACTAAAAAAAAATGTATAGAATCATTCCGCGTGCGGAAAATTTCACCCGCAAATGTACTAGGATAACATAACATAATAGTAGATCTTTACATTTGACGTCGTCTGAATTCCACGTTCGACGTCAATACCAGCGCAAGCCTTATCGGCTACGTAATAACGGTGACGTTTTAGTATTTACGGTGATTGGTTACTGTATGGATTTTTGGTCGAAGTGCGCATGTGTCAGGGCGCCCACGTGGGGTGTCTTGAAACATTACTAGAGCCACATGCATTTATAGGTAGAAGGTTGTTTTGGACTGGATCAGACAGCTAAACAGCTACGAGAAATATCATCTTTTGTTATTCGCATTTATAGAGTTTTAAAAAATAACCTATGTAAGTCCTACTAAAAGTACTGTAATACAGACTACCTGTAGTAGTTAATACTTTCTTTTAAAAATTACGTCAAAATCGTTCCAACTGTTTTGGGCATCAATGTGAACGAATTGCGGACAGGCAAAAATAAGACTAAAAGACTTTTGCTGTAAATCATTGAAATACATCATGTGCACGAAATGTGATTAACTGTGTTGATCGGACCGCAAAGGATATTCCAACAATGCCTCTCCCAACTAGGCAGATTGTCTGAGGGATAATTATTTTAGAAAAGTCACTGTTAGTACGCATGCGTCTTTCAGGGCGACCACGTGGAGTCTCCTGAAAAATTACTAGGATCACATGTATGCTGAGTAGGTGGTTTTTAGACTGATAATATGGACAGTGTAACTGATGAGACAGGACCGTGCCAAACAGGGAGGTGGTTCCATGTAAATGCGGACTTGTGGAGAGACAGATGAAAATAGAAAACATGGTTTTTGATACATTTTTTTATATTTAACCAACTTTCAGCCGTGACTCCGTCAGCGTGAAATTTAAAAAAAATAAACAAAAGTAAGCAGCCTATATGTGTTCTTTCAGACTATCCTCTACATCTATGCCAAATTTCATGCAGATCCGTTCAGTAGTTTAGGCTACAAGTACTAACAAACATCCATGTATGTAAACATTCCCATTTATAATATTAAAATAAGCAGGATAACTATAGAAAGAGAAAGAGAGCTAGATTGTCTAAGAATTAATTGTTTTAGAGAAACTGTGGTTGTTAGTACGCATGCGCCTTTCAGGACTACCACGTGGAGTCTCCTGAAAAATTACTAGGACAACATGTATGCTGAGTCTGATGTCTGACAACTTCGACAGTGAAACTGGTGTGTCAAGACTACGCTAAACAGAGAGATGGTTCCATGTATCATAATTTGTTACTAGCTGTTGCTTGATACTTCCTCAGGATGGAATTTAAAAAGTAGCCTATCTTACTACCAAAAAGATAAACTACTTTCTAGGAAAAGTCTTGACCAAATCGATTCATCTGTTTCGAAAATTATCCTGAGTAGACGGATTTGTGGACAGATAGACGAAAATTGATAATGGTTTTTGAAACATATTTTTTTATTTCATAATTTCATTAATAATTTTGAGTACTGGCTGTATGTGCATCGGGCATGAAAGATGTCAAAGGGACGATCGAATGACTCATGACTGTTGTCATTGAATGGGTGAAATGATGAGCTTTGTTATTACAAAAACAATCGGTTAATCTCTGTAAGCATTTGTAATCCGATTAGATTGTGTTGTGCAATTTCAATTTAAGATGGTGGTTAACTAAGGGTGGTGTTTCTAATGTTACGTGATTGTTATTTCATTATCTCCGACATACGCCTCCCCACAACGACGAATGGTTACCGTGTAACATATGCTCGTATGTTGATCTGCCTTCGGAATTGAATTCTACAAACCTCTCCTCACTCCGACAACTATATAAAAAGAAAAATATTATCTAAAAGTTAATTATTTCAGCGTAGTGGTTGTTAGTACGCATGCGCCTTTCAGGACGACCACGTGGCGTCTCCTGAAAGATTACTAGGGCCACATGTATGCTGAGATGGTTTTCAAACTGAAAATTTGACAGGACCGTGCTAAACAGAGAGGATGTTCCATGAATCATTATTTGTTACTAGCTACCGCTCGTAACTTCCACAGGGTGTAATTTAAAAAGTAGCCTATCTTACTACGAAAAAGATAAACTATAATAATTTCTATGAAATGTCTCGTTCCAATCGGTTGAGCTGTTTCGAAGGTTATCCAGAACAAACGCGGACTTGTATATGACAGTCGATAATTAAAACCGTTTTTTAAAATAGTAAGTTTTGGATTCGATTACATGACTCTAAAGACAGACTGTCAAATTCTGTAAAGCTTAGTTAGTTATTTTATAGAATATGGTTAGTTAGTTATTTTATAAAAAATCATGTTGTCAGAACGCATGCGCCTTTCATGACGACCACGTGGCGTCTCCTGAAAGATTACTAGGGCCACATGTATGCTGAGATGGTTTTCAAACTGACAATTTGACAGGACCGTGCTAAACAGAGAGGAGGTTCCATGAGTCATTATTTGTTACTAGCTACCGCTCGTAACTTCCACAGGGTGTAATTTAAAAAGTAGCCTATCTCACTACGAAAAAGATAAACTAATTTCTATGAAATGTCTCGTTCCAATCGGTTTAGCTGTTTCGAAGGTTATCCAGAACAAACGCGGACTTGTATATAAAAAACAGTCGATAATTAAAACCGGTTTTTAAAATAGTACTTTTGGATTCCATTAAATAACTCTAAAGACAGACTGTCAAATTCTGTGAGGCATATTATTTTATAGAAGATCATGTTGTTAGTACGCATGCGCCTTTCATGACGACCACGTGGAGTCTCCTGAAAAATTACTAGGGCCACATGTCTGCTGAGAAGCTTGTTATTTAAACTGAATATAGTCAAATCAAAGTATGCAAAACAGTGATGTAATTGTATTATCAGCAGTTTTTTCTTATAGTATGTCAAACATTCTTACAGCGCCACTTTCAATCAACCAAATATTAAAATCTTATTTTAAACATTACGAAGAATAAATTAAATTTCATATGTCTAAGCCCAAATTTGAGAAATATATATAACTTTAGTTCAGTAAATTAACTTTCACAAATGAAGTGTTTTTATATTTTTTTTAAGCTCAAATTTTCTTAATAGTGATCATTACCTTACTTATCTACTGAATAATTACAGCATCTGAAAATTATAATATACACATAGCTAATAAGTCAAACTGAAAATGTAAATATACCATTATCTCAACGTATTATTCTCATTTTAAGCTTGAATTACAATTAATACGATAGTTGTACTGGTAATTGTGACGGTAAATTCTTATTCAGTGGAATTGAAAACGCTACATTTTGATTTCAAAAATTAATTACAACTAATTGGTACCAGTTTATTCGTCTCTAAACAAACGTAGCTTTAGATGAAGTGCGCATGCGTCTTTCATGACTTCGCCATATCGTGAATCCTGAAAACTTACTAAGGCATCATGATGTTGAGAAGGTCGCCTGAATAATTATATAATAATATTTGCGTCAGTAGCGCAGTGGTGCCACTGACGTAAATACACGTTGTTTTCCTTGACCACTGTGAAAGCATTGGTGAAGGAAATCATCGTGATGCAACCTGCATATATTTGATGCTTACAGGAGACTGATAAGTATCAAGTAAATTAAGGAATAGGCAAGGCGTGGACAACTAACGCCTGGAAACTTTTGCAATGTGTACAGAACTGAGGGCAAGGTCTTCTTGACAAAACATCAGCATTCTTATGAATTATCCCAGCACGATGCTCTATATCAAAATCGAATTCCTGCAATCTCTCAATCCACCGTGCGACTTGTCCCTCGGGATTTTTAAACTGTAGTAACCATTTCAAAGCAGCATGGTCGGTTCTCAACAGAAACAGTACTCCCGAACCCCTCGGTAGAGGAGCGTAGATGACATGTTATTTTTTTTGTTATCAATGTCTTCGTGTTTCTTAGTTTTTCTTTTTTATTTTTTTGCAATATTCATATAAGTTAATATTCATACAATTTTGTATAATATTGAACTGAAAACAACGAATTCAATGTTATCGAAATTTTTAGAACAGTAATTTTTATTAAAATTAATTTTAAAGAATTCTGGGGATTTTTACCATTGGGTCTCTCCCGGTTTGACTCAAAGGAAAAGAAATAAAAATATTATTTGGAAGTTTTTCCGCATGCGTATAATTTCAGGGAAGTTATATCCGCAGGTGTACCAGGACATCAGAAAACGATGGTAGCAATCAAAACAAAGTTCCACCTGTTGCTTAGGGATGAAAAGCGCATGGCCTCACTACGACCACGTGGTAAAATATGAAAAATCACTAGGACTTCATGAAACTTTAGTAGCGTATTTGAATAATGAATAATGGTGCTTGTAGCACAGCGATAACGTAGCGAATACGGAAAGTAGAGTCCGCGCTATGTTCACGAAGTGAGCCAGACCGAGTGGTTTGTTGGAACGAAACTAAATCCAATTATATCACGATTACAAATGTTGACAAACCTATTGTTAATAATAAACGTGATTAAACACATTTATAAACGAGGATTTCGTTTCGTGTCCTATATTTATATTTGAAGCCGTTAAGTGTTTTGTAATTGGATTGGTAATTGATAAAAGTTGGTTATGCTAATCTGAGGAAACTGAGAAAGGATTGTAACCTATAAAATAAAATGACATTGAACCTTTTTGGTGACATAGTGACATTTTTACTTTATTGGACTTTCGACTTTGTCAAACTTTGACATTACAGTGCATGTTGGGCTTATTGTAGAAGAACATTTAAGAATTTAATGTTTTATACGGTGTTATTTATTGATGTAAGTGTTTCCTGTGATATTTAATTACGTGCGACGTGCGTGCATCTCACTGTGGGAGGCATCTCTGGTGTTACAAGCCAACTCAAATTTTGGTGATGTGAATCACACAGCTAAACCTTAGTGAAAGAAGAAAAAAAAATAGTTGCAAGTATAATTACTACATATCCGTTCTATAGTTTTAGCTTAAATAATTAAGGTAAAAAGTTTCATCCCGTTTGTATGTATTTTTCCAGGAGAGCCAAACTTATTTAAAAGATATCGAAGAATCCGTTTGCGGAATGTTTTATCCGCAGCTGGACTATGATATCCGAAAATAATGGTACGTTTTAGTGTAATCGATTTCATATTTAAAGAAGTCTTATTGTCTACATACTAAAAGTTGACGTAAAGGTTTATTCAATAATTAACCTCTTTTCGGTATGGTTGAAGTGCGCATGCGGGTTTCATGAGAACCACGTGGTTGATCCTGAAAAGTTACTAGGATGTCATGAAAGATGGGAAGGTTGTAAACGTAGGTACGTTACGGGAATTATTTTCCCGTAGTTGAACTACGACGTGTAAACTAGCTAGTTGTCTTTGTCTTACCCCTGATGCGGGCGTTAATAAACTACGTTTTCATATACGAAAAAATGAGACAACTATATTCCCGACATCCGTATAAGTTTCGCGTTGACGCACTGAACCCGTTGAAGACAGAATATTTACGTCAACCAAGGAACTTTTATAACAACTGAACCCGTCGTTGCTTTTAAAAGTAATAAATCTTATAGTTTACGCTAGAAAAACGCCCGGCCGTTTCCTCAAAATGGTTAATATTATTTGGGAATAGCATTCTTAAGGAATCGGTCTATCCTTATGTGAGGGTATGTCCTAAGGTTAGGAGAGCAAAAAATAGACAGCATGCACACTTAGAATAAGAAACGCGGAATTGCTTTCACTTCACGCTAGTCGTGTATGGTGCCGCAGTGTTGTATACCACAGTATTACACGGTCGCGCTGGGTCGGCCTTCATACAACAGGTATTATTGTGTCGGTTTTAACCGATGTTAAAATGTTTGATTTAATTTTTTTTTAATTCAGTTCAAAACATGACTAACATATTGACTTATAACAGTCATAAATTTTTCTTCGTCTGGGAATTAATATTAATTTGTGCATATATATACTAGCTGTTATTCGCAACTGTACCCCCGTGAAATTTAAAAAAAATAGCCTATGTTACTAACAGATAAATTACCTTTCTAACGATGAAAGAATTTTTAAAATCGACTTAGTAGTTTTTGAGTTATTTCAATACATACAAAAATTCCAATAATACAAATTTTTCCTCTTTATAATATTAGTATAGATGACGATATAGATTAATCCTTTCAATTATAAATCCTTTAGATAAAACATATCTAAAAGCGTTGATCGCATGCGGAATATTCATGATAATTTTACCCGCATTTGTACCAAGGTATCAGAAAATTATTGTAGGTCGTTAAGCACTTAAAACACGTGGTTTAGTTTGAACTGCGCATGCGTTTTACACGACCATGTACTCGTAGAATATTTATTTGTACTGAAACAGTTATGTGAAGATTGAATAATATTCACGTAATAGTGATGCTATAGTTTAATTAAGTCTGCGTTAAATATTGACAATGCCTTTGTATTGTTGTCGCGATAATATTCTTCTCGTAAAACGGTTCAAAGTGATAACACTTTATTTTACGGACGTGAAAACGAAAACATTTGAGAATATTATATGTAAATGTACGAGTATGGTTCTATAAGGACATCGATGTAAGGAGCTAGAATGTGTCTATATTAATCAGGTCTAAAGACTTTTACTTTTACCTACCTTGGTATTAGTTATACTTTTTTAATTGATAATGAATGAATTGATAATGTTACGGTCTTAAAAATAAAATGAGAAATCAATGATAATGTAATTACCAATAGCGTCGTTATCCTTAGAGAATTGCTTAATAATAAGATCCAGGCCTCGACGCGTTACTTTGATGAGCACGTCTATTACTTTTCTACTATAATATCGACGCATTTCGCTCACAGCATTCTTCACCATCTCCTAATGAAAGCAAATAATAAAATGTGATTAAAGCAATAAAATCTTTTAAATCTGTTTTTTTTCGCAATGTTTTAACAATTACTGGCCAATAAAATTATTATTTTTCTTTAATAAACCTAAAAGTAAGTAATCAACTATGCTGAAACATGTAAACCGATATATTGTCAACTATAATTTCGTATAAAATCTGCAGCTTTGAAAACTTTTGGTTAAGATAGTACAAACATCATCCCACATACACACAATCTAATGCGGGGTAATGTAATACAAATTCTTAATTAATCCAATACCTGCATGCCTTTTGAGAGTCCGCCTGCTGGTGTTGAGAGCAACTTGTGTGGGTTGTCGAAGCACTCCCATACCGCGGACCAGTCCTGCTGCCCGCTGGTAGTCGACTCGTTCACAGTGGATGCCGCTCCACTACCGGTTTGGGTATCGTCTATTTGAAACGAAATTTCAATTTTTATTGTGCAACAAATTTTTATAACCCCAAACTTCTACTGAAATTTGTAGTAATCCATATGATCATCTCTTACATTTTCATTGACAAAACAGAGACTACTATTCTTACTAATACGAAGAGTCTCCAGTTGCAACACGCAAGAAGAGATAGCAGTGCAGATAACCCGTTTAGTACTGTGCGCCTACAAATTGACGTTCCAAATCCATGCTGAATATTTTTTTACATCATCATATTGGAAAAGATTTAAGTACGAAAGATGCAATTGCTATGCTAACAGTTATGAATGTGGTGTAGGTATTCCGGTAGAGGCAGACCTAGAAAGAGATGGATGTATTGCGTGGACGGTGACATGATAAAGAAGGGAGTGGTAATTGAGATGTTGGATGATAGAGTTATTTGAAAGACGAAAACCTGTTGTGCCGACCCTAAGGAAGTAGGATAAGGTAGGGGAAATTATGATGATGTAAATGTGGGACTTTATCACAATACCTTCAGCAATGAGGAACTCGAAGTCAGGGTTTATTTCTGCAGGCTTGATTTGTTGAGCTGCCTTCTTTACCAAGTCCAAAACCTCTTCGACAGCTTCTTCCACCATCAAACTCTTGCGGTTCAACTCCACACATGCATTACTTTAACCAACGTTAATTCAATATTACAAATTAAAGAATATCTAAGTTAAATAATAAAAATAATATATGCAACAGTTTTGTTGAGCAATGCAATGAAAAGAGTAATCTTCTACTTCTAGTTAATATTTATTTAAACATTATATTTACTGTAGAATTTTGACGATCTTACCGGCTTCCAGATTCCACGTGTTCTATAAAGTCCTCCATAGACCATGGTTTTTCTTCTGTAATGGAAAATGTAAGAATTAACCAACCCATAGTTATGATAAAAAGCCAAAAGTTACGTGACATTGGTTTATTTTCAACCTGTACACACAAAGACGGTAAAAGACGATAAACTGCCGATTCTCGTTATTTTTTTGAGACAAATTTATTTGTGTTATTTAAAAGAGGTTAGTACCTAATAATTATAATCAACAACAGAATTATAGTTGGAAAATATTACACTTTACTGGTAAAGATTACGCTTACCGTTTTTTTATTTTTTCACCGTATCATATCTAGTTTGACATTGCCTTGTGTTGGGGATTTATTTTAATAAATAACATAATTTATATTAAACATCAATCAAAATAAACATATATTTATATCTAACCATTCTCCGACATCCCATCTACATATATTGTTGACTTTAGCATTTTTTATGAAGGAAAGTAGCAAACAATTGTAAAATGATTATTTTTCGAATCCACTAGATCTCAAACTATATGGGTCCATGATGATAAATGTCCGACAAACTGCTAGGATCGCAGAAACGCAAGGAGACGAATCAATGCTTCATCTCTTTTCGTCTCATGGAAATATACTATTTTCTATCCTTTCGGAGAGTGAGGTACCAACAGGAGGTCTACGGTAATAGGAATACATATGCATTCATATCACAATTTAAGGGTAAAGTTAGTCGAAGAGCCAATGATTGTTAAACCAATGCATTACAATAAAGATAATATTATTCAATACATTTCAGTAAATAAAAACTTTGACACCAAAAAAGATGGATGTGCTCAGCAGAGCAAAGCAGTATTTCTAGATATAGGAGGAATCTCGCTTCTCTGAGCCGGAGTTCCGTAGTACCAACATTTTCCATTTTACCGCAAAACAACGGTGTGCGACTCGACACTCTGATCTTGCGGAGTGACATTAGTTTCCTCTGTGTTTTTACCACATCTATGAAAATAATTTGGTACAATACCTGCCGCCAAGTTCCGTGATTGGAAACTCGACAAATCACCAAGTTCCTTCCAGAATTAGTTTTTCGTTGCGAGTAGCATAAAAATACATATTCTCGAATTTTTTTTTCTTTGATATGTGAAACTGACGCCAATTTAATTATTTGTATTTATCTACATTTATTTTATAATAGTAGTAAACATTGGCGGTTAGTTTATAGGTGTCCTGGAAAGCTTACTAAGAACAGAGTTTTGTTTTGACCGAAGGAATGCGATGAAGAATTTTTACCGGCAAGACTACCAGAGCATCAGAACCTTAGGGTAGTTAAGCCGAGAGTGAGAATATAAGGCGCTTTCTCTTTCTTTTCGTGAAAATTTCATGAAACATTGTGATTGGTGGGTCTGGGCACTATTTGCGTGGAGTGAGGTAACTTGGCTTATTCGAGGCTACGCCTATTATGGGGCCAGCAAACTGGTTTTTCGTACTGAGTTTATTGAATCATCTTTGTTAAAACTGTAAGTGCTTTTCATACTTCAAGTAGACTTATAAAGCAGTGATACTTTCTTGATATTAAAATTAACTTTTACGCAAATCATCCATTTTATTCCATACTATAATCATTAACTATAAGGAATGTAGACTTTAATTCTATAGATAACACCACAAACGCAAAGTTAGTTATACTGTGTATGTACATCTACAGGAGTATTGTAAACGCAAGTTATCTGGCCACAACTGGGGCGTGGCTTACGTAGCACGTAAAATGGCGGCGAACGTTCACGTTCCCCCGCACCCTGCTAGAGTTATGGCGATGACTACAATCTACTTTGTTTTTTTTTATTGGCGTTATTTATCTATCATAAGTTGACTGAATAAATAAATTACATCGATTAATAAATTATTTACCTTTATTGTGAAAATGAAGAATCAAAGGAAATGTAAAAAAATTACAGATTTGTTAAAACGGAATTAAAACCTGCATTATTAATTAATGGTAATAAATAAAAATTAAAGGTAAACACTACCCTTATACTAAATGTCATTAACTCTTCTGAGAGAGATAATAGAGTTGCTGTTGAGTAGAGTAAGTTTACATGTCCATTGAAGTTTTCAGAACGTTGCAGAATTTCACGCGCTTGAACACCAGGGCGACATGATTTAACTAGTTCTGATAGATCCTCACAAGGCTCTGTTCTCATTGCTCTAATAAATGTGACGCGTCTTTAGCGTATTTAGAGAATAAAATTATCCTGAATTTCTGAGTAAAAACAATAATTGCGTAATAATTCCTAAAATCATCATTATGTTTCTGAGCCTACCCACGCGTGTGAGTTTGACGCGCAAGGTTTTTATAAACCTCTATGTTTTGGCTTATTATTTATAAACGGCTGTCTGCCTGTTGCCAACCCTATTTGGGAGAAGTAAAAAAATGTTTTTTTTTTAAATTGTATTATACTTATACCTTTAAAAAGGTAAATTATGCTAAAAAGTTTTTTTCTAAAAATACACAAACAATAAATGGCAACAAATTAAAAAAAATCAAAACGAACTTTCAATAAAAACATATCCTTAACTATTTTTTTTATTTGATAAATACAGTTTAGATAAAACAGATAGAAAAGAATAATTAATATTTGAACAATAAAATCAGTCGCCGTAGGTAAGGGCGGCAACGTTTGTTATTTTCGTCCGCATCTACATCCGGGTAGCAGAATTTTAAAGAGGCTGCAATTCCGCGGTGATTTGTTCCCTCTTCCCACAGTGAAAAAAAATTGGGAAATGTTCTTCTCTAAGTTTTCTGTATTCTTCTGGTGCAATGTTTTCAATGAAAATCACAATAAAATATCTCATCAACTTGCCCTTGTCCCTACGGAGGGTCCGCAGAGTATGTGCTCTTCCATACATTACTAGCAGCCGTCATATCTCTATTCCCTCCCTTCTTAAGCAAATCTTTCACACAATCCATCTATACCTTTTTCGGCCTGCCTCTACCTTTGTAGCTATCCATATTTAATCTTAACAGTTTCTGATTTATGTCCCCATCCTCTGGTCGCATAACATACAGCGCTGGACTAAAAGCAAAAGCTTCTCAATTTAAAAAAAAAAAAAAAAACAAAATATAATACAATACAAATTATAAAAAAGTAACTATTAAAAAAAATAATTCAATTATTATGTTTTCAATGAAACAATGAAAATATAATTTATCAGTAATGTGGAAAAAGGAAATAGGCAGTAGCTTACAAAGAACGAAAGTGTCATTTCCCAGTATATTTCCGCAACAATGTTGTGCTGCATGCACAAAAGTAGGAAAACGATAGCGCGATGCAGAAGTAAAGCCCGCACGATTACCAGGCCAGCATAACCTTAAAGTGGTTAAACGTAGGGATATGCCAGCATCGTTTGGATCAAATCGATTATTGATTATATTGTATTGGAAATTAGAATCGAGTAATTGGGATTTTTGGAAAAAATTATTAATCCCAATATTTCGAAAACGTCGCAAAACATAACTGGATTTTCTATTGCTTCAAATACAAATCGATTACATCCTCCAATATCTTTATCTCCGTCAGTAAAGTAAATATAAACATCTAAATATTTTCAATTCGTTTGAGGTTTTTAAAATTCCTATTATCAAATTTGAACATTGAACATAAGTAACTCTAAATGCCAAATACTCTAAAATTTGCGAATATTTTTTCAATTATCATTCATTTATCATATGTACATAATAAATAATTTTATTGCAACAGCGTCTCATAAAACTATCCAAAATAGACTCTAATAAATAAGATAATTTATCTTATACGTTTTTGGGGATTTGAAAATTCAGGTTTATTTATTTTCTATTATTCGATTCCGAGATTCAGAAACCATAAATCGTAAGTTCGGATAATTCGCACAGCCCTAGTTAAATGCCTTCGTAGTTCACCCCACTCGCTCCCTCTCCCTTGCGTGACATCGTAGCGCTTTAGTGCGCATGTCTGTGCTACACGTTGTAGACTCATCGTAGGCATATATTCGAAATGTACGGAGCCGCGTAGCACAAGCTAGCATAAGCTACGCGGGCTACGATTGTTATAATTTCTTAGCTAACCTGGTATGCGTTGCGAAAATCAAGAACAACGTCTAACAATAATAATCTCAAAGGTTAAAACAATGTGATAGTCAAATGAAAAAGTAAAGAAATTGTTAAATTTTAACTTCATACAATTTGTCCGAACTCGTAAACTAAACGTTGACCAAAGTTAGTAAAAAGTTGTTAGTAAAAAGATGTAAAGAGTTATCCTATTTTTTTCACCGAAAACAGATGCCGTAGTCAATACTAAATTTTATGTTTATACACACAATAATCAATAAGGGGAGATATCACAAAACACCACAAAGTTTATGATGTCTTGATAGTTTTTCAGTTTTACCCACGTGTATTTGCCCTTACGCTTGCGCACTTCTTCGATATTCCTCCCTATGATTTCTGCAACCCTAGTACTGGTGCGGATGAAACATTCCTAAAATCATCCGCATACGGATAACAAAATACTTGTTGCACTCAAGTTCGAGTGATACTTGAAAGGATAATGAATTCTTGCCATAGGAAAAATAAAGAAAACAAGCCTTTATTTCTGTTCTAAAAGTGAAATAATATTTTAACAGTAAAATATAAATAAAAACCAGTTAGACGGAGACAAAATAAATTAAAAAGAAAAAATATGACAGGTATAATAGAATCTACGAAATTCAACACACTGTACTATAGTAATATTTTGTAGGCAGCAAAAATTGTATTTGTGCTTCAGAACTAGGCTGAAATCGAACTATTAAAAGTTTTTTTAATTTTAACGCCACCAATCAATAAATACTATCTGAAAATTACTTACGCGCAATATTTCTATTATCAGATTCTACTAAAATTCTTAATAATTGTCATATTTACGTTATTCAAGTTAGTTACCCTTGGTTGTTTGAAGTGCGCATATATTCAGTATATATAGTCAGGAAGACCACGTGGTAAACCCTGATTGATTACCAGGATCTCATAGATGTCGAGAAT